AAATCTAAGTAACTCACCTCAAACGGAACATTCAACATGTTTCATGAGCTTTGTAAGTTTATATTAACAACAATTAAATCTGATCTTCATTATATACATCTAGTTAATTTCAGTCTCACATCTTCGGATAACGTAACGTGTTTGTCGAACATTTTATAATTTATAACGGACAACAAAGACACAAAACAAAAACAATTAAGAGAGAAAAGCTAACTTATACTATTCGCTATATATTAGTCATGAATCATGTGTGTCAAAGATGTGAAAAATAAAAAATCTTTTAGCTATAAATTAATTAGTCAGTTCACATAACATCGTCGTTAATTAATTTGTGTGTTTGAAGAATACAAATCAAACATGAATACGTCATATGACAATTAATTATCTATTAGTCTGATAATTAAATTTTTTTTACTCAATAATTGAGCTAATCATCCTATTAATTAATTTTACAGATTAAATTTTATAAAAAATGTTATATATAAATGTAAATAACGTACTAAGGATATTTTAATTGATAAACAACGTCTTAATTAATTTTATAAGTTTTTTATTATCAAAATTTCGTTAATAAACAAGAAAATGCAAAAGAAACATTTTTGTATAAAAATTAAATTCCACACACCTACATTTAATCTTCCGCCGGCGGATGCAGGGTCTCGCGAGACCAACGAGTTAGAGTTGTCTACTTTTTTCATATGTGAAGAAAATGAATAAATGGATATTTGTTTCTATCATAAATATGTGTTTTTATTTTTTTCTTCTACATATTTTATACATATTATAATAAAAAAAACTGCTTTTCAAACGGTTTAAAACAATTTCATTCTTGGGTCACTTTTGACTACTATATCATCCTGCGTCCGCCATGCGTGCGAGTATCACGGCGTCCTCTGTCCGAGGGTTAAGCAATTGTATTTATATAATATTATTTTCGATCATCGTCAATTATCGTGAACATCTTCTACTTTTCCCATATTTATCTTTCGCCTCCTTAACAGTTTCCGCAGGAATTCAATTTCAGAAAAATATAATAATGGCTATCGAAAACACGTTGCTTGTCTACATACATGTTAGCTGCATGAAGAAACATAAACATCATTTGATTTACTTTATATTAAAACTGTTACTTAGTTTGTACCGTTCGAGAATTCATTGATTGTTTTTCATAAAGTTCTTCCTTCTCTCGCGTTTTCGTCGAATGACGATATTTCGATGTTCCACTTCCTCCTTCCGTTTTATCTTCATAGACAGCAATTCTTCTTTCAGCTGCAAAGTAAAAAATTTCATTTGGATTTTCTTTCAAGTTTGTAAAATTCAGCTTGCATAATAGCAATGATGTTAAATGAACCTGAATTAAAAATATTTCATATAAAAGTTCTAAACCACTCGATTCCATAGGATCGTAATTTTTTATTTGTTTTGATTGTAACGTTTGAATTGCTTTAATTTCTTGAATCAGATGAATTTTCCTTTAAATGTCTTCATTTTTTTGTTTAATTAGTAGATATTAATTTTAGTTGCTGGGATTCCTCATTTATAATCTCGACAGCTTTTGCAAATTTAATTATTTTATTATTTTAGGTACTTACCTTTTATACATAGGTACATTAATATTATAAATATTACCAATATCTCATTTACCATCAAATTGAGAGCCTTGCGAGTAGCTTGCTCCATCGCGTGACATTTCTCGATTATCTTCGCCGCTTCTCGATTCTAATTCTGTCTTAGTTTTTCCAATTTCATATACAATTCCTTTTTCTTGTTAGAAGGGTAATTATTATTTTAGTTTTAATATATTTTTTGAACATATATAATATATAAAATCACAACGTTAATTAATACGTACGTATTAGTGAACGCATGTTTATACATGTACCAGTAAAGCAAATAATTATTTGTTATATAACAGCTATAAGTATTACAAATGAATAATTTATACGTAAGAAAATTGAGAGTTATGATGTGAGCGGACGTTGACAATATAATTACGACGATTGACGCGAACGTTCGTGCGACATGAACGTACGTTTAAAATATGCTGCGACATTTACTATCATCCTTTTTTTCCCGGTATTACAGATTATATTGTAAATAACATTAAATTTGACATTTGCCTATTAGAACGTAATATCACTTCTCTCCGCCTGCAACTTGGTATCGCTTAATGATAATGGTTATGATTGCTTAGCGAGAATAGCATTTTTTCGCGATAATTCATTCATTTCACATAACCGTTTTTCTTATTTTTTCTCCTCAAGTTTTGATATCGCCGATAGATCCATCTTCTATTAACTGCCGTATTCTGGCGTTTCAAAAATTAAAATTTCGTAAACTTTTTAATATTACAAATGTGCACTCTAAGGAAGATGGATATGGATTTGACATCATGCGATTTATATAATTTGTTAGAATTTACTGTTTAAAAAGCAACATTATAGCGTTGTAATAACGCACAAGACGAAAGATTGAATTGCTTAATAATTACAGCTTTAACGTTACTTCACTTTCAAGAACACTATATTCATTTTTAATTACAATGATTCAACATAAAATTGTATTGATATAAGGTTCTTATCAACGATATTGAATTATATAAGTATTATATAAACACCGCATGATGTTAAATCCACATCCATTACTTTTTAGAATGTTCAGTAAGTAAAAAATCATGATTTCGCTAGTGCTAATATACTATCAGAAATATCAATCGTCACAAATGGTACTGTGATAATATTGAATCAACATCTCAGAAACATTGAATTGTAAAATATGTTGAAAAGACATTCCAGAAACATTTATTGAAATATCCATTGAAGTAATATCTTGTAGACGTTGCAATTCAATATTCAGGAACATTAATTCAACATTTTTTCAATATCATATAATATAAATTCTAAGAATATTAGGTTCCGAAATTAATTTTT